AATGGTCATCAGTGAGCCTGTTGCACTGTTCAATCAAGATATCACAACAAGGGTTTATTGACATAGGCCCATTCTCTTTCAAAAAGAAAAGAGATGAGCAATCTGGTACCCAGCGAAGATGGCATGTTCAAGTTTAGCCAGCCTCAAGACCAATCCAGCAGAGTTGACAGATGTTTAAGATTGATGTAGGGAGATGTGTGTTCATTAATATTGTACTATAAAAACTGGTTATACTGATTTGGATTTGAGTCAGTCAGAGCTATTGCTGTGTGTGTCTCTTGCAATAAATAATACAGCTTATAATTGGTAAATCTTGAAAAAACATTGAAGAGACAAATGGAGTCATGTAAATATCTTGATCAGATTGCAAGATGAATAGATTCCATGCCTGGGTTCTGCTATGAGATAAATAGATGCTCTTGATTGTAGCCAGAAAGTGATTTTGGAGTTAGAGTTGCCCAACTTGGGTTCTGCCATGGCTACTCAACCACTGATCTCATTATAGCCTTTGTTACAAGCATGAACAAAACAGCTGAATTCCAGAAGTGAAGTGAGAGTGACAGTTCTTGGAATAAAGGGTGCATTCGACCAAGTGTGGCAAAAGTACCCTAGCAAAACTGCAATCACTGGGTATCAGGAACAAACTCGCTGCTGGTTAGGGTCATACCTGGCACATAGGAAGTTGGTTGTGTTTGTTGGAAGTCAGAGATATACAGCATGGAAACAGACCCTTTGGTCCAACCAGTCCATGCCGACCATAATCCCAAACTAAACTGCCCCACCTGCCTGCTCCTGGTTCATCCAAATGTCTTTTAAGCATTGTAATTGTACCCACATCCATTACTGCCTCAGGAAGTTCATTCCACATGTGAACCACGTGTAAAAAAAATTTGCCCCTTGTCTTTTTTAAAAACCTTTCTCCTCACCTTAAAAATATGTGCCCTAGTCTTGAAATCCCACATCCTAGGTAAAAGACAACTACCATTGACCTATCTATACCCCTCATTATTTTATAAACCTCTACAAGGTTGCCTCTTAACTTCCTATGCTCCAGTGAAAAAGTCCCAGCCTACTCAGCCTTTCTTTATAATCTAAGCTTTACATACCCAGCAACATCCTGGTAAATCACTTCTGAACCCTCCAGCTTGATAATATCTTTCCTGTAACTGAGCGACCAGAACTGGACACAATATTTTAGAAGAGGCCTTACCGATGTCCTGTGCAACATCAACATGACTTCCCAACTCCTATGCTCAAAGGACTAAGCAATGAAGGCAAACGTGCTAAACACCTTTTTAACCCAACACCTGTCTATATGTGATGCAAACTTCAAAGAATTATGTACTTGCACCTCTAGGTCCCTTTATTTTACAACACCACCCAAGACCCTACCATTTTTATTGTATAAACCCTACCCTTATTTGTTGTACCAAAATGCAATGCCTTGCATTTGTCCAGATTGAACTCCACCTGCCATCTTTCACCCCAATGAACCATTTGATCAAGATCCCTTTGTAATCTTAGAAAATCTTCACTGTCTATTTTGCCACCAATATTGGCGTCATCTGCAAACTTGTTAGCCATGCCTTCTATTTTCTCATTCAAATCATTTCTGTAAATGACAAGCAAAAGAGGACCTAGAATTCCCTGTGGAACACCAATGGTGACAGATCTCTAGTCTGAAAAGCAACCCTTCACCACCACTCCATCTACTGCTGTTAAGCTAATTATGTATCCAATTGGCAACCTCGCCCTGAATCCCGTGTCACCCAACTTTACTAATTAGTCTACCATAGAGAACCTTGTCAAAGGTGTTATTAAAGTCCAAGTAAGTATCTCCAGTCCAGGACATCCCTGAGGAACTCCTGCAGAGTAGTGTCCTGGGCCCAACCATCTTCAGCTACTTCATCAATAACCTTTCTTCCATTATAAGGTCAGGAGTGGGGATGTTCCTCGATGATTGCACAATATTCAGCAGCATTTGATGATTCGGATACCAAGCAAAATCTGGCCAATATCCAGGCTTGAGCTGACAAGTCACAAGTAACATTCAGCCACACAAATGCTAGGCGATAACTATTTCCAATAAGAGATGATCTAGCCACCATTCCTTGACATTCAATGGTGTTACCATGATTTGAATACCTCACTAGCAACATCCTTGGGGTTACTGTTAACTAGAAACTCAACTGGACTTGCCACATAAACATGGTGGCTACAAAAGCCGCTCAGAGGCTGGGAATACTGCAACGAGTAACTCAGCTCCTGACTCCCCAAAGCCTGACCACCATCTACAAGGCGTAAATCGGCCATGTGATGGAATACTCCTCACTTGCCTGGATTGGTACAGCTCCAGCAACACTCTAAAAGATTGATACCATCCATGACAAAGCAGCCTGCTTAATTGACACCGCATCGACAAGCATCCATTCCTTTTACCACCAATAGCAGCAGTCTGTACTATCTACAAGATACGTTGCAGAAATTAACTGAAGGCCCTTGGACAGCACCTTCCAAAACCACAAACACTTCCATCTAGAAGGCCAAGGGCAGCAGACACATGGGAACACTACCACCTGTGAGTCTCCTTCCAAACAACTTACACCCTGACTTGGAAATATATCGCTGTTCCTTCACTGTTGCTGAGTCAAAATCCTGGAATTCCCTCCCTAAGAGCATTGTGGGTCTACCTACAGCATGTGGACAGCAGCGGTTCAAGAAGGTGGCTCACCACCACCACCTCAATGGCAGTCAATGGGGTGGGCAATAAATGGTGGCCTACAATGTCCTACAATTGACCAAAACCAAATACTACTGATCTGAAGAATGTTTTCCAGCTGACCTGAATTGCCATTTAACCAAGTTCATTCTTTTAATTTTAAGGGGAGTTTTATTGTCTATTGTCAATTGTCATTGACATTAGAGCAAAAAGAATAGGTTCCTTGTCAACTCAATTACCTTGAACGTAATGAAAGGGACACAAATTAGAAATTAGGACTGGAGTGTAAACTTGGAGGGAAATTTCTTGCCTCAGCGATAATTTTTGTGGGATGTTACTGGGTAAGAGCACTACCAAAATTAATTTGAAAGATTAATTGATTCACATCCTGAGTGATGAAATGCACCAAAATATTCCAGAGAACAAATTACTTTTGATGATAGCACAAGCTGTTGAGTTTGTAGATAAAACTAAGATGTATGAGCAGCCCATCATGTTTGCTGCATTCAATGAGACTCTGGATAATCTGATCATCCTCGCCCCTACTTTCCTGCCATTCCCCATAACCCTTGATTCCGTTACTGATTAAAAATCTATCTCAGCCTTGAATATACTGAGAAACTCAGACTCAACAGTCCTCTGCAGTAAAGAATTTCACAAATTCACTACCCTCAGAAGAAATTCCTTCTTATCCATCTTGTTCTAAGATTATGTCCTGTGATCCTGGACTCTACCACAAGAAGCTACACCTTCTCTGCATCAACTCTGTCAAATCCCCTAAGAATTTTACGTATTTCAATAAGATCACCTCTTATTCTTAACTCCAATGTGTGCAAGTCCTGGGGAGTGTGGTCAAACAGAGACCTAGGGGTGCAGGTACGTGGTTCCTTGAAAGTGGCGTCACAGGTAGACAGGGTGGTGAAGAAGGGATTTGGCATGCTTGCCTTCATTGATCAGAGCGTTGAGTACAAGAGTTGGCACCTGTTACAGCTATGCAAGTTATTGGTAAGGCCATGTATGCAGTACTCTAAACAAGTCTGTTCCATCTGCTAAGAACTAATGTAGTGGTTCAAGAAGACAGTTCATTATCTTTTGCCCACACTCATCAACACCTCAGCCTGCTTCTTAACCAACTGGCAGATCAAAAACTAATAGGGAAACTAGTTCAAATCACAGTATGGCACTTAAGGTATTCAATTCGGGTCAATACATGTCTAGTTTCAGTTTTGAGAAACAATGTGCTGTTTAAAATGTAGTTTTCCACTGTCCCTTTTGATATTATTCTGGGGCTACAGACATTTCTGATTTCTCAGCAGTCATGCAGCTTGGCAGGAGCATTGGTGACCATGTCAGAAAAATGCAGTTTGTTCACTGATGTTCTGTACTTGCCCTGTTTGGCATACGTGTCACTCCAGATCCAGAGTCGTTGCCTCGTAACTGCCTGCCAAAATGGTCTAACATGTGGTTGTAGTAAATGATTGCAAAAACTTAACTCGCACAGATTGTGGTGGTTCAAGAAGACTGTTCATTGCCTTTTTGAGGGAAATTTGGGTGGGCAGTAAACACTGGATTTGTGAGTGATACATATCCTGCAAACAGAAACAAAAATCTGTCTTTTTTTTGATTTTATTGTCACGTGTACCGAAATACAGTGAAAAGCTTTGTTTACAAGCAGTATACAAGCAGATCAAAGCAAGCAAAAGATGTACAGATTAAAAAGACTTACAGGCATACAGGTTACATTATTTGAGGTTAGAGTCCATTAAACAGTCTGATAATGGCCGGAAAGAAGCTGTTCCTGAACCTGCTTGTGTTTGTGTGTTCAGGCTTCTGTATTTTCTGCCTAATGGAAGAGGTTGTAGGAGGTCATTACCAGAGTGCAATAGGTCTTTGATGTTGGTCGCTGTTCCACAGCAGTGAGCTGTGTAAGTAGAGTCCATGGATCAAAGGTTGGCTTCTGTGATGGTCTGGGCTGTGCACACCATCTTCTATAGTTTCTTACGATCCCGGGCAGAGCAGTTGCTATACCAGGCCGTTATGCACCTAGACAGCATGCTTTCAATGGTGCATTTGTAGAAGTTCGTGACAGACTTTATGAACATGCTAAATTTCCTGAGCTGCCTGAGGAAGAAGAGGTGTTGTTGTGCCACCTTGACTGTTGCCTTTATGAAGTCCAGGACAGGTCATTGGTTATCGTCACTGAGTGGTACGGTGGGAACGTGTGGCAGGATTCTTTGTGTAATGATTGACTATTGATTTATAAGTTGTCTATCTTCTCTAGAGTTTCCTAGGTGGTTTGTTTACTCCAGTATGCGACATCAATATTGTTCTCAATGATGCCGACACAAGGAAAACTGCAGAAATTAAAAGTGAAGATGGTAAAATAGAGAAACATTATCTGTTTTATGATGGCGAATCAGTAACTGGGAAGGTAAGGATTTGCTAATCACTGCATTTATTCTGATTGTTTGTTTCATCACTAATACTGTTTTCAAGATACATGTGACTCAAACATCAAGCCCGTAATCTCAGAATTATTAGAAAGAAGCCATATAGCCCATCATGTTACCACATTCTAGCTGAGCATTCTGACTTGGTGTCAATTTCCTGCCTTTTCTCCATAATCTTGCAAGTTGTTTCTATTTAAGTAACTATCTAACGCCCTTTTGAATATCTCAAATGAACTTCCTCTGCCACACTTTCAGGCAGTGCATTCCAGACCCAAAGTGTTTGCTGTGTGAAATTTTTTATTTTTTTTTTTAAAAGCATGGTAATTAGCTGGTGAGAAGTAACTGAAAGCCCAATGTTGATTTTGGAATACACTAACATGTTTCTTTCATTGTTGGAGTTTGTTCCTGGATGTGGGTAATGATACAATTGCTGCCCATCCCTAGATACACTGAGGTGCTGCTGGTGGGTCTTGTTCCAAACTGTACAGTCTGAGGAGTAATGATGTTCACTCATTCATGCTAAGGAGCAGTTTAGGAGCGGTACCGATAAAGTTTACCAGGATGTTGCCCGGTATGGGGGGTATTTTAGCTATGAAGAAAGGTTGAATAGATTGTTTGTTTGTTTGTTTGTTTGTTTGTTTTTTTCACTGGAACGCAGGAGGTTGAGGGGCGACCTGATAGAAGTTTATAAGATTGTAAATGACTTGGATAAAGTGGAAGGGATGGAGGGGTCAATTACTAGGGAATACAGGTTCATGGTGCGAGGGAGAAGTTTAAAAGAGATGTGCGAGGCACGTTTTTCACGCAAAGGGTGGTGAGTGCCTGGAATGCGCTGCCAGAGGAAGTGGTGGAAGCAGACACAACAGCATTCAAGAAGCACTTGGATAAATACATGAAGAGGAAGGGAATAGAGGGATACGGATCCTGTAAGTGAAGACAGTTTTAGTATGGAAGGGCAAAATGTGTTGACACAGGCTTGAAGGGCCAAAGGGCCTGTTCCTGTGCTATATTGCTGTTTGTTCTTTATAGATGATGTTGGAAGTGTGTTGAAAACCAAAAAATGCAGAAAGATTTTAGGTTATTTATGGAAGTAGGCAGGTGAACTTGTTCATTCTCATACTGTAATCAATGGGATTCCACAAGAATTAATGCTGGGACAGCAACTGTTTTTATAATATGTTACTGACTTGGGGGAAGGAGCAAATGTACTGTAGCCAAAATTGCAGATGACAAAAAAAAGGTGGAAGGGCAAGTTGCAAGAGGAATGAAAATTCCTTGCCACAGAAAGCTGTGGAAGTAGTGACCTTGTATATATTTAAGAGTGAGATGGATTCTTGATCAAAAGGGTTGTGGGGAAAGGACAGGAAAGTGGATGTGAGGAATGTTGGATCAGCCATGATCCTATTGAATGGTGCAAAAGGTTGAGGGGCAAATGACCTATTCTTGTTCCTGTTTCTTATGGTCAGTACTAAGCCAGTCAGTGAATCAGATTAGCTAATGTTGCCCTTTTAAAGAAATTGAAGATTTATCTTGGTTTTTGAAAAAGGAGGGTCAATTTCCAGGTGACATGTCTTTAGATGGCTTCTACCTAGAAGGAAGAGGTGAAGAAATGGAGATACATTTGTTATCTCTGAGCTTGTTGAAATTAAAAATTCTACAAATCCATTGAAGTGTACAACATGGAAAAATAAAGTAACTGAGGGTTGAATATGCAGTTGCACAACAACATTAGAGCTCATGGAATTAAAGGGTCAGAATTGGCTGAGTAATAGGAAACAGTAATGGCTAGCAGATGATTTTTCAGACTGGAGGAAGGATAATAATGGAGTCCTTCAGGGGTCACTAAAGGCCTGCTTTTCCTAATTCACATTAGGCACCTAGACCTTGATGTACAGAGCGCAATTTCAAAGTTTGCAGACAGTACACAAAATTGGAAGAGGATCATGTAGTGCTGGTGGAATGGGTAAATAGATGAGAGATAAATGTGAGATGATATGTTTTGGTAGGAAGAACATGGTGAGAAGGTGTAAAATAAAATTTATAACTCTAAAGAGAGTGTAGGAGAAGACACACCTGGCTATATAGGTACTTGAGTCATTAAAGGTGGGAGAATATGTTGAGAAAATGATATCATATGCAGTAAGCTAGGCTTATTGGTGTGTTGCCTCTTGGGTGCCAGGGTCAAGAATGTCTCTGAGCAGTTGCAGAACATTCTGAAGGGAGAGGGTGAACAGCTAGAGGTCATTGTGCCCATTGGTACAAATGACATAGGTAGACAAAGGGATGGGGTCCTGTGAAATGAGTATGGGGTGTTAGGTAAGAATTTAAAAAGCAGAACCTCAAGGGTAGTGATCTTGGGATTACTCCCATTGAGGATAGACACACAAAGATAGATCAGATGAATGTGTGGCTGGGGAGCTGGTTAAGTGGCCAGGGATTTTGGTTCTTGGATCATTGGGATCTCTTCTGGGTAGAGGTGACCTGTACAAGAGGGACGGGTTGCACTTGAGTTGGAGGGGGTCCAATATTCTCACAGGCAGATTTGCCAGTGTTACCCGGGAGGGTTTAAACTAGTTTGGCAGGGGGGTGGATCTCTGAATAAGAGAGGGGCCATTGAGAAGTCGGGGAAAAATACGTTGGCCATCGGGAGCAAGTTTACTATTCAGGATAGCCAGGGGCACAGTAAAGGACAGGAAAAAGACTTCTGGTTTAAAGTGTATTTATTTCAATGCACGAGGCCTGACTGGTAAGGCAGATGAGTTCAGAGCATGGATTGGCTCTGGGGACTAGGATATTATAGCCATAACAGAAACAGGACTGAGAGAAGGGCAGGACTGGCAGCTCAGTGTTCCGGCATACAGAAGCTACAAGTGTGACAGAAGTACAATGAAGCGAGAAGGGGGAGTTGCCCTTTTGATAAGGGAGCACATAACAACAGTGCTTCGAGAGGATATTGTAAAGGGGTCATAAAATGAGGCCATACAGTTAGAACTTTGAAACAAGAAGGGGATGGTCACTCTATTGGGACTTTATCATGTACCCGCTGGCTATTTGGGGGTCTTAGAGGAGCAGATGTGTAAAGAGATTGCAGATACCTGTAGGAATAATAGAGTCATATTGGTTGGAGATTTTAGTTTCCCCTGTATTGACTGGGCCACCCGACGTGTGAAAGGCTTGGATGGGGTGAAATTTGTCAAACTTGTCCAAGAAAGTTTCCTAAATCAATATGTAGAGGGCCCTACTTGGGACGGTGCAACACTGGACATTAGGAAATGAAGTCGGGCGAGTGATTGAAGTATCAGTCGGAGAGTACTTTGGGTCCAGTGACCATAACTCTTTCTTTTAACATTCTTATGGAAAAAGATAGGACAGGTCTGCACGTTAAGGTGCTAAACTGGAACAGGGCCAATTTTGGGGCCACTGGGCAGGATCTGGCAGAGTTTGATTGGGTGAGCCTGTTTGGAAAAGGAACTACTGGCAAATAGGCTTTTAAAACTGATATCAAGAGTCCAGGAACAGTATGTTCCTGTTAGGGTGAAGTGAAAAGCTGGCAGGTTTAGGGATCTGTGGCTGATGAGGGATATTGAGGCTCTGGTCAGGAAAAAGAAGAAGGCATATGTTGAGCTTAAGCTATCAGGTTCAAGTGAATCCCTAGATGACTGTAAAAAGTGTAGGAGCACACTCAAGGGAAATCAGAAGAGCAAAAAGAGGGTGTGAGATTGATCTGGCAGATAAGGTTAATGATAATCCCAAGAGCTCTTATAGCTATATTAAGAGTAAATGGGTGGCTAGGGTGAGAATAGGTCCCCTTAAAGATCAGCACGGTCGTCTATGTGAAGCCACAGGAGATGGGGGAGATTTTTACTGAATATTTCTCCTCAGTGTTTACTGAGGAGAGTACACGGATGTTAAGGAAATAAGGGAAACAAGTGGGGATGTTTTAGACTGCATACACATTACCAGAGATGAGGTATTTGCAGCCTTAAAACACATTAAGGTGCATAAATCCTCTGGACCTGATCAAATCCATCCTCCAATGTTGTGGGAGGTTAGGGAAGGAATTGCAGAGATTTTTGCTTCATCTTTAGCCACTGGTGAAGTTCCAGAAGACCGGAAGGTGGCTAATGTTGTTCCATTGTTTAAGTAAGGTAACAAAGACAAGGCAGGGAACTACAGGCCAATGAGCCTGACGTCAGTGGTAGGCAAGTTATTGGAGAGGATACTAAGAGACAGGATCAACCAATGTTTGGATAGTCATTGTCTGTTTAGGGATAATCAGCATGGATTTGTGCGTGGGAAGTTATGTCTGACAAATCTTTGAGCTTTTAGAAGAGGTAACCAAGCGGATGGATAAGGGTAGGGCAGTGGATGTTGTCTATATGGACTTTAGTAAGGCCTTTAACAAGGTCCCACATGGCAGGCTAGTCATGAAAGTCCGGTTGCACGCGATCCAGGGAGAGCGAGCTAATTGGATTCAAAATTGGCTTGATGGTAGGAAGCAAAGGGTGATGGTTGAAGGTTGTTTCTTGGACTGGAGGCCTGTGAATAGTGGTGTGCCCCAGGGGTTGGTGATGGGACCTTTGTTATTAGTTATTCACATAAATGATCTGGATATGAATGTACAAGTTGTAATTGGTAAGTTTGCAGATGGTACAAAATTAGGAGGTATCATTGATAGCAAGGGAGGTCCTCAAAAGTTACAGAGGGATCTTGATCAGATGGGGAAGTGGGGTGAGAATTGGCAAGTGCATTTCAATACAGATAAGTGTGAGGTGTTCCATTTTGGAAAGTTATCCTTTCAGGTTTAAGGTGAGGGGGATAGATTTATGAAGGACCTGAGGGGCAACTTCTTCACACAGAGTGTGGTGCCTGTATGAAATGGGCTGCTGGAGAAAGTGGTTGAGGCAGGTACAATAGCAACATCTAAAAATTATTTGGATAGGTACATGGATGAGAAGGGTTTAGAGGGATATGGACCAAATGCGGGCAATTGGAAATAGCTTAGTGGGCACCATGGTCGGCATGGACCAGTTTGGGCCGAAGGGCCTGTTTCCATGCTCTCTTTTTCTATGACTGTATCATCGGGGCAAGAGCAAGGAATTAATGCTGAATGTATATAAAACACTGATTAAACCTCAGCTGTAACATTGCATTCAGTTATGGCCTCTGAGCTTTTGGAAGGTGTGACGATCTGAAGGAAATCGAGACAGTGCAGAGGACATTCACAAGAATGGCTCAAGCCATGAGCTTCAATTATGAAGATAGGATGGAGGGGTTGATATGGTCATCCTTTTTGGGAAGAAATGGGTGATGGATATCCGATGGAAGTATTCAAAATTATGCAAGGTTTAAACAGAATAAATAGGGATAAAATGTTCCCATTTCCAGAAGGCACATATTTAAATAATGAGTAAAGGAATCAAAAGTGACAGGAGAAAAGCTTTTTCACAATTGAGTGGTACGGATCTGGAAAGCACTGTTTGCAAATGAGATGGAGGCAGGTTTATTCAAGGTTTTCTGAAAAGAATTGGACTGTTTCCTGAAAAAGCAAGAATGTACAGGTTTATGTGAAGAAGGCAGGAGAACAGCACTGAGGAGTTAGTCATTTGGAGAGTTGGCACAGACACAGTGGGCTAAATGGCCTCCTGCATTGCAAAACGTCTGTGATTGTTAGCCTGAACCTACTATACTGTCAGATATCTTGACCATTTCTACTTGTTGCTTTGCCAAAGCACCCAGGTCTCCATAAATAACTATGATGTATTAATCTGTGAGTTTCATACATTTCCAGCTAAATTCTTCAGGAGCGGTGTTATAGCTCCAAACTCACTGCGTATGTAGGGTGCTGCTGGAGGGAAACCACAGTGGAGTTACCTGGAATTATTACTTGCTCACAGGAACCAGATCCAGCAGTTTTACCATTCCTTCATCACCAGGTGACAATGCTGGAGACCCCTGTCTAACAGCAATGGAAGCGCCTTCACTGCAAGCACTATCATGTGGTTCAAGCAGGCACCCCTTGGCTGTGCCTTCTAGGGTTTGCAAAGTAAACCGTGAATATAGTCTTCCTAGTGGTGCTCCGATTCAGGGAACCAATTAAAAATGTCTTGTTTTTATTTGATACTTTATGAATTAGATGTGGTTATTATGCCAGTATGATGCTGTGAAATACAATGATTTGAGACTTTGGTTATTTTATCAAGGTAATGCTGTGTAAATTATAATGCATGATCATAGTTTTTGGTTTGCATCTGTAACTACCGCTAGTCCCACATGCAGGTGTTTCTCTAATTCTAAAAGGAAGAACTTGTTTTCACATCATACCTACAACCTAAGCACACCCCAAACACTTTACAGTCAGTGAAGTACTTTGAGTTGTTACTGTGGTCGTCAGATGTGGTGACCAATCAATGGGCTGATTGGTCTACACCTCCTATATTCCTATACGCAAGATAGGAGTCCACGATATCTTTTTGAGAGGTAAATATTAAAAAAAAAAAAGCCAAAA